TATATTAAATGGAATAAACAAAGGAATAAACAAAGTAAATAAAGAAGAGGATCACATGCCCTAACTACAGGACAGGAAAGCCAATCAGGACACTCAATCAGAATGCCAAGAAAAAAGATTCCAAGACTATAAAAATAACTTAAAGAGCATATGGGACACAATTAAGGCTCTAAATATTCATCTGATCAGCGTAACAGAGTAAAATCAAAATGTTGAACAGCTGTTTGAGGAAATAATGATGGAAAACTTTACTAACCTTGTGAAGGAAATGGACATAAAACCCCAGGAAGCTCAGAGAATTCCAAAAATCAAGGATCCAAAGAAACCCACACCAAGACACATCATAATTAAAATGCCAAAGGTTAAATACAAAGAAAGACTATTAAAAGCAGCAAGAGAAAAACAGATCATTACATATAAGGGAACATCCATATGACTGGCAGCTGATTTCTCAAAAGAAATTATGCAAGACAGAAGTGCTTGACAAAAAATATTCGACAAGATGAAGACCCAGGATATACAATCGAGAATAATTTATTCAGTAAAGCTATCATTCGGAGTTGAAGGACAGATAAAGAGCTTCCCAGATAAAAATAAACTAAAGGAATTTATCACCGCCAAGCCAGAATTACAGGAAACATTGGAGGGACTTCTTTAAGAAGAAACAAACATGTATCAAAAACAGAAATTAAGAATGGAAACAACTACATTCCGATAGAATGGTGGAAAAAAATTGGAAAAAAAATTAAATGCTCCAATCAAAAGATAGAGTGGCTGAAAAGATAAGAAAACAAGACCCCTACAGATGAAAAGGAAGAGAATGGAAAAAGATATTGCTTTGATGAACCTAGAAAGTATTTAAGTCAGTCAGAGAGATAAATATTATATGATTTCACTTATATGCAGAATTTAAGAAATAAAAAGAACAAACTAATCAAAAACAGACTCTCAAATATATTGGACAATTTGGTGATGGACAGAGGGGCGGGGGTTTGGGGGAGCTGGGAGAATGGGGTGAAGGATTAAAGAAGTACAAATTAATAGCAGACAGATGGTCACGGGGATGGGGAGCATGGCGTAGGTGGTACAATTAGCACTAATATATTGGCTAGGTGGAGAGTCAGGGGAGGGAGGGAGCAATTTTGGGAATCATTTTACTAACTATATAGATGTCTAACTAATGTACTGTATACTTGAAACTAATTAATTTTTTTTTAAACTAAAATTAAATTAAACTTAATTTAATTTAAAAAATGACAAATATAATCTTGACAAATACTAGACATGATGGTTTAGAAAATAAAGTACAAAACAAAAAATGAGTGGAAATAGAAGACATAAGAAATAAAGTTTAATAAAAAATAACACATTTTTAAACTAATATTAAAGTTTTCAAAACATTAAATATTTAAAATATTGTTTAGAACTGGGAAATAACATCAATGAAAACACGCTGTCATGTATCAGAAAACTACACAACTTACTAAAAGATGCTAAAGGCTTGAATAATGAAAGAATCATATTATGATCGTGGAAAATACACTATATTAAAAAATCTATAAATTAGTATAATTCTAATAAATAATCTACTGTATTTTCATTTCTTGCAAAATTATTCTGAACTTTATCTGAGATTTATCATCCAAAGCATTAAAATGATTTTTAAAAATACAATATTAGTGTAGGATAAGTCTCTCACATAAAATAGATTAGAATATGCAGAAATATAAAAAAAATGTAGACATTTAGTTTATGATGACAAAAATTATTGATGAAAGAAATAGAGTAGGGACAACTGGTTATCAAATAAGAATTAAAGTTATATTTTATATTTTAGCCTCAAATTATGGACCGAGATATGTTTTAGATGGAATAAAATGTGATAATGTGAGTGTTAGATGACAACATAAATCTATATATGTAAAATCTTATCATGGCAAAAGCATTTCAAATCATGACTCAAAAGTCGAACATCATAACACAAAAGTTTGATAGATTTGATTATATAAAGTTATAAGATGTCTCTATGGCTGAAAAGACCACAAATGAAGAATAAATAAAAGAAAAGAAATTGCTGAAAATAGTAATCTTTTTTTTTTTTTTGGAAAGAGCTATTATAACAGAAATTTGAATGGACAAAAGGTTAAACTGCATAAATAGACATTTCAAAATTAATAAATTAATATGGACAAAAGTATTTAGACACATTTATGTTAACTTATAATTTAATACAAAATACTTAACATTTTTTAATATTAGACAGACAATTTTTTTTAAATTTTAGTATCTGATGTTAGTACTATCTGGGGAAAAAGAGTCACTCAGGTGCAGTTGGTGGAGAGTGAATTCGTGCAGGCTTTCTGCAATATAACTTGGTAATATTTATAAATGACTTAAAATTTTTGTACCATTTGATTCAGCAATACCACTTCTCAGAATTTACCTTCAGGAAATAAGACAATTACAGAGGTGTATGAATAAGAATGACTTCTCAGTTTCCTAAAAGAATGCTCTGTTCTGAGAGATATTTAGCCAATAAAATGAATATATATGATTTATGACAATCTGCATTTAGGACTTGATCAAGAGGTGGGATTTGAAATTAATTCTAAAGTATCTAAGCAAGGAATAGAAATAGGGAATTTAGAAGCATGGCCAAGTTTATTTTTTGCTCTTTTTTTTTTTTTCCTTTTTGGGGTTTATAGCCTATGCCAGAGATTAAGGAAAATACAAGTAATATATAATAGAAAGTGAAATTAATAACAGCTGTGGCAATAGATTAACTGTTTAATGTTGCGTTTTGAAAATAAACTTTTTTAGCAGTTCAATTTATGTGTTCGTAGTTGGCAATTTTCTTCCAGGTGGAGATTTAGTGATCTAATAACCTTACTTATTCTTGTGGCTCTCTCATTTTCAACTTTTATCTCTCGAGATCGCTCTGCAAGGTTACATGTGGAAGTTTTTATTGGCTAGGCCTTCATTCAATTGCCTAGAACACAAATCACATGGTTACATTCAACTGCAAGTGACAGTGGAGAATGTTTTGCTCTGTGCACTGAAAGAAAAAGAAACAAGTTTGTTGGAAGCAAAAAATCTCTGCCCCAATATATCCTTCTGATCACCCAAAATTTTTCCATTTCATTTTCCTCACACAAACCACTGCCATTCCTTGTCCAAAGAGACAACCTAAAGACCCATCAAGCCAATATATCTGACCCAAAGATAAAGATCATAGATATGCACAATCCTCTTCATCATATCTGGATGCATTAGTTAAGAGACAAATGAACCAAAAGACAAGTTATCAATGAACCTCTCCACTCATACACAAAATGCAGTGATAGAATAGATCTCTGAGAAATGCTCCTTTATATAAATGCTTCCATTTAAAAATAAAGTAAGAATGACAAACACAGTGATCACTTATCCGTAGCAATTATAATAACATGCCAGACTGGCATCAAAAGATTACTTTGCCTTGGTGATAGTTGTAGTTTCTTGCAGAAACTGGATTCTCTCCTGCGTTGGTGGGTTTTGTTTGTTTGTTTGTTTTGTTTGTTTTTTTGTTTGTTCGTTTTTTGCTTCCCTCGATTCTACCTTATGGGAAATTCAACCTCGTCAGTCATACTCCATGGCCACATCTGAAGTGAGTGTTTGGGAATATACCCCTCATGACAACTACACATCTTTAATAGTTCACTTCTTGCTTTCACTAGGTTTGGGGCTCCAGAGATTGAAGTTTCAGATAGTCTTTTTTTTTTTTTTTTCTTCTATCTAGACATATGTTTCTTTGGCACAACAGTTCAATAAAAAACACAGTGTACTCCTAATCTATGTGTCATATTCATGTGCCTATAACTATACTCCAAGGTCTTTTGAGTAATTACCGAGCCTAATTTATTTCTTTCCTTTTCCCGTCTCTAAATCCCTCTCTTAGATTGTAAGCAGCTACAATGAGGCTATATGTAACAATGGGTGTGGGAGGGTAGGCAGCGCATTCAATCTGATCTTTGCTATAGGGCTGAGTTTTGATGGATTTTGTAGCCTAGAGTTTCACTCAGTTCTATCCCTTACTATGCAACATCTATAAATAGTTGATTTCCCAAACATTTGAATACCTAAATGTCTGGGCTTTCTTTTGATCTTTTTTCATTTCTGCTTACAAACTGGCTATACTTTACTGGGCTCATCTTCTTTACTACCTTTACTAAAGGCAGAATGTAAAAGTATATTATTAATCTATATCTTTCCAACTACCTCCTTGAAAGCTACAAGTCTAACAGGCATCTAATCCTCAATGTTGAGTATTCATTTTCCACCTTCAATCAACAACACTTAACACTGTTGGTAATACCCTTGAAATACCTTCTTCCCTTTGATCAACAATAGTATGTTCTCCAGAATCTTTTCTACCTCTCTGTTTTCTTCTCAGTCTGCTCTGCTAAAAGCATTTCCTCTTTCTAGACTTTAAATATTAGTGTTTTTCAGGGCTCAGTTGTCAGACCTTTTCTTTCCACCTAGACTCACTCTCTTGGAGAGTTTATCAATATCTATAGCCTTAAATAATATTTATAATGATAAATTCCAAGTTATCATATCCAGCCCCAACCTTTCTCATGACATTTTTATTTTAAAATGGTGTAACTGTGTTCGTCACACTAAAAATTACACATGCATATTTTCAGATGGAGAAAGAGGAGAAAGGAAAGATATAAAACTGCAAAACATATGTGTATTTATATACTTAGTCTCTCTTTAAAATGTAAACTCAATAGCAACAGTGATTAATGTGGCAAATGTTATATTTGCCACAGGTGTCTTGCACATAATAGATATACAATAAATATTTGTTGACTAGATCATTAGTGTAATACACATTAATGAAAATTTATTTAATAGAAATATGTTAATTTCAAATAAGTCATTCTAATGCAGATATAAACTCTGAGACTAAATAACACGCTAACTTGAGCAATGTTTTTTTCTCTTTTGGCATCTAGATCCCAATGCTCTGGCTGGCCAGACTGGCCCTGATCATGCTCTTATAGGAGGGATAGTGGCTGTAGTTGTATTTGTCACACTGTGTTCTATATTTCTGCTTGGTCGATATCTGGCAAGACATAAAGGTAGGTCATCTGTAATAAAATATTATTTATTTTGACAAAAAAATCTAAACACTAGCTTTACCATGAAATATTCTATGAGCGTGCACAAGAGATAGAGACAGACAGAAAGAGAGATAGAGCTAGAAGGAGAGAGATATAAATATTAAAGTATTTTAGGGAATTCTTGATTATTTTAATCAACTTTAAAGTTAAATTGGCTCAGCAAAATAATGGCCAAAGGTCACAGAGTAAGTCACGGGCTCAGTAAATAAAAAAGGAAGCGAGTTTGTAATTTATCTGTAGAACTGAAATGCAACAAACATTAAGCATTTGATCAATGTTTTGTTTGTAGGTTTACGGACACACACATGGATATATTAGTGAGACGAAACTATATATATGTATATATATTTTGCAATGGGCTAGGTCGAAAACCATTGATATAATCTATTTTTAAATGGAGTTAACAAAATGAATGGTGACACAGTTGATGTGATCATTATCAACACCTTAACAAAAGATCCTGATTGCTACAGCTGCATGGATCACATGGTCTGTATCTATCATTAAAGAAATCAAAGTACTCATTACCCATTCATCTGGCTGTTGTCTCTAATTTGGCCACAACTTCATCTACAACATTTACCTGAAAACTGAAAGACAGTATGTAACTTTAGAGAGGTGAACTGTTTCAGAATATGTTCCAACTTATAAAAAAAATGGCATAAGTTTCTTCCTATTATGCTTCAGAATATGTTCCAACTTATAAGAAAAATGGCATAAGTTTCTTCCTAAATGAATGTAGTTTTAATGTTGGCTATTTACCAGTCTCATAGAACTAACATTTTTTTTTTTTTTATCCCCAATACCCACAGGAACATATTTAACAAATGAAGCTAAAGGAGCTGAAGATGCACCAGATGCTGACACAGCCATTATTAATGCTGAAGGCAGCCAAGTCAATGCTGAAGAGAAAAAAGAGTATTTCATTTAAAATGCAGGCCAAGATTCTGAGTTTTACTTATCAGGCTGGCTGCTGGAGAAAACTGGCTATCATCTTTCAGAATTCATTTCTCCCATCTTCTGCTACCTTTATTAACTTCCACACCATACTGCTATCAGTAGCCAGTGTGTACCAACAATCAGCTGTCAAAAGCATTATTCTTTAATTACTGTACCATTCATAATGCAGGACATTTCTTACTGCCTAAATTCCACATCATTGCTCTTTTAACATACAGTGCTTGAATATACAGCCTTAACAATGTTAATCATCTCTTTGGATTATGATATTGAATTGTTTTTATACATTGAAAAAAATGTATACAGAGTCCCCGCTTTAAATCATAGACTGTGTCAGTTTGTCATTGAACAACTATCACAAGGAACGGGATTAGATAAAGAGCTAATGTGCTTAAATTTTATCAGACATTGGAGGTTTACGATGTTTTCTACATGTTTCTCTTCAAAGACGTGTTTAAAAACATATGCCCTAGGAAACATCAACTGAAAACACTGTAGTATAGATTCTGGAATGTTTGAGATATACTGGTAAAGCTGTATCAGTTGCTATCTAAAAATATAGTACTTGATACAGGAGCCATGTGTATGAATTGCAATCATGTCATAATATCTTTATGTAATTATATAGATCCCACCATTAGGTTATTTTAGCTTCATTTACCAAAAATTATTACAAACATTTTACCGCTTTGTAAATCACAAAGATTTCATTCATTTCTCTAATTTGATTCTGTAATTTATTTGCTCCACAACGACTCACCTGCCTAAACGAAATTGAAATATCCATAGGGCACAATTTTGAGACATTTTAGTATGTGTATATAGTGCATATATTAATCCAATTAAACATTATTTGATACATATTTAACTTTTTTGGCTGTAGGTAATTCAGTCATAAGTAAGCATTTTCTAATGTCCATTATATCCCTTTAGATATTACTTATACCAATATTATAAGTAGATAACATGTATTAGTATTTTGTCTGTATGTCCTAGCACTGTTCAACAACAAATTTTTCTAATTATTTTTAATTTTTATTTGTTATACAATGGAAGCACAATGTTATAAGGAAAGGTAATTTTAAGCTAACAACCAGTGCACAGCCTCAGGTTTTAAATTACAACCACAGTTGAATAATAACCTAAAAATATACTCTTAGTTTGCTAAAAATTTACAAATTTTAATTTGGCAGTTCTAGAGCTGCTTACCTATGTTGGTTTGCCAAAAAGAAGTGTTTAAGATATGTTTTCTGTATAAATGAACTAATTCTTTATATTAAATTCCTGTCTATGCATTTTGTGAGGTACAAACTTATGAAACAGTGAGTGATAGAGAATTTCTGCCATGCTTTTAACTTCAAGGTGAAAGTCTCTTTCTCTGAATTATTTCTGAAATTTTAGTGTATTTAACCATTAGGAAATGCTGTATTCTTAAATACAACACAGAATCAATCTAAAGTCATATTATTCTTCTAGTAAAATACAGTACTGCTAGATTAGTTCTCATTAAATTTATTATATGCTAAAGATTAAAAATCCAGTTAGATAAAAAATATTTTCTGATTCACGAGCACTTCATCTTTAAGAAGAAAACAAATATGAAAATATGGTAGCTACACTTGTGATGTCTGAAAGCATGTGGCCTATGTTTTGAAAAATAATATCTTGGAATTTATTTTGGGAAAACGAGAATGGTTGAGTACGACATCATGTGTTAATAGCAAATGAAAGACAAGGGTGCTGTATCTTAGATTATTTATCAGAAAAGTATAAATCTTTTAAAGACAATGTTAGAATTTTAAATTGTTTTTTTGATTGTTGAAGCATTTATCTTGTTGATTTCTTACAAAAGAAAAAGGATGATGTCAGTCAAGCAGCACTTTTTCAGAATATACAAAACATAAATAATATGATGTGGTTGAGTGTTAACATAATAAATCATATACAGTATGACATTTTAAGGAAATAAGTCTGCATTGATGTGATTGCATGCTTGTTTTTACAGTTCAATTCATACCATCTGTGGAAAAATGCAATAATATGTTAATATAGTATGGTAGTTTGAGAGAATCAGGTAGGTGCTACTAGACACATTGAAACTAGGATAGGTTTATAAACTGTTCACATATTTCAATGCATAATCTTTAGAAAGACTGCACAAAGCAAAATCCATCCTGTTATTACAAATAGAAAGGTTCTTATTACAGAAGTAAGTTGTATAAACTGCATCATCAATTACTATTTAAAACCTAATTTCAGGATGCACTTACAAAATTGCTACTCTTCATCGATGCTGTATTTACAATTCTCTTCATTTTCTCTGTATTCTACTTGGCTCCAACTGCTAAATTGTTGCCCAAATAACTCAATCATTATTTATAACACTGTAAAATTAGAAATCTAAAAGTGGTTGCATTTCAAGATTTTTTATTCTTTAACCCTTCAGAGTAATATAAAACCTCATGAAAACCTTTAAAAAAAAAAAAACTAACTGATATATTATGATTTGTGGGCTCTAATCAAATATTTTACTAATTAAAATAGATAAATAAAAACTCATGAAAACCTTTAAAAAAAAAAAAACTAACTGATATATTATGATTTGTGGGCTCTAATCAAATATTTTACTAATTAAAATAGATTTGAATTAGATATTGTTTTTAGTTACTGAAAAAAATAGCAATGGAATCATATTTTCCTATCTTTAAAAATTATTTGATTTCTACCAAATAAGGAAATAAATTGTAAAAATTCCACTTATGTGAAAATAAGAAAAAAATGAAATAACATTTCCAACTAAACAATGTCAACTGAAAAATCTGAAGCATGCACACTTGTATGCACAGAGAGCCAAATTCTATCTCTGCTCAGTGAACAGAGTAGCTATGGAACTTGATGGAAGGAGTGTGCACACACACACAGACACATCCACACCCCTAGTAGAATATGGAACATTATTCTTTACCCAAAGTAGCTATTCTCTGCTAGTGCACTATTTACAGTATAAACTGATTGTTCACCATCAAAAAAGTGTAAGCAGCATTTTTTCCTTTTTCCCATTTTTGAGTATCCTAGATAGAACAATTACCAGAATTAGGAAGAAAAAGGAAAGTTTGTGAGTGCTTGAGTAAACACAGAGAGCATGAGCAGAGTTTTGTGTGTGTGTATATGTGTGTAAGTGTGAAAGAGAGATTGATTTCAACTTCTTTTCTTTTACCAGAGAATTCGAGAAGCAGTTTAAGGAACCTGATATTGGAATTTAATCTAGAAACTGGATGATCTCATATTGATTCAAGATGGTTAATCTTGCATTGAAACCCCACAATTAAAATAACAAATAGAGAAAGAAAACTAACTTTCCTAAATATGGCAAAGAAGCTAACACCTCATTTATTTTTATTTTTTGTAAAAATATAAATATCTCAATTAAAAGGACAGGCTCACTTGTAATTATGTACTCATGACTGTAATAGCATCGAGATTCCATATAGGCACATGTACAGCAGCTGTTTGACGGTGATGGTTCTTCCATGTAATATAGCAGTTATTGTGTAATTTAGTGCCACTTATTGCAAAGTGTTACCAAGGAGAACATTTAAAATACTTTTCTTTTTTCTTTGGACTTAAGGATAATTTAATGAAAGACATATACAAATTTTGATATTGTTTTTAATTGGGGAGAAAAAAACAAAACCTCATATCTTACTTCAACTGCCTGGTCATATTGCTAATTACTTAGAGCCCTCTAAAAATACTCAATATTATCCCCCTTTAAAAATGTAATCTGCGATGACTATACAAAACAAAGCAAACAAACAAGCAAAAAACAACTGGCAACAACAACTGAAATAAATGAAACACCTAACAAGAATTACCGAGTAATGCTTTTTATTAAGTGGCACAAAGTACACACTAAAAACTATGCAAAATATAGGTAACTACAGTGTACGTACATGTAAGTATCTTGTACTTGCTTTGTATGGATGTTTAAAACCCATGTAATTATAATATGCATTTTGAATATTGGGAAAGAGGAAATCTTAGTGTAGATAATAGAATTTGTTTTGAAATATACACTGGCAATATTGAAATATACTCAGTGCAATATCGGCAATTCTTTTGCTGGATACTTAATGCGAAGGGATTTTAAAGAATTCTTCAACAAGATACAAGAGATTGCTAATCTTCACCTCCCACACACTAAAGCATTAATTAAAATAACAACTGATTCAGCAACATGTTATTTTTTTTTTTTTACTTAATTATCGATGTAACATAATCAAATTATTTGCCCTAGTTTTTAGCATTACAGGAGAGAAACTTTGATTCATATCTAATTAAATTTGGAATTCTTAAACTTTCTTTGAAATAGGTGCATGTTTTAATTAATTGTGGTACTTTTATTATAAGTACAAATCTATTCAACCAAATGCACAATATACAGGTTACCTTTAATAGTTTAAAGTCACTATATCTTAATGGGAATTTTTTGTATCTTTTATTTTTCTATTATTTTTTTCCCTTTCTCTCCTTATTCTACCCTAAACATGCCTTTTGCACTTATACCCTTCCAAAGGCAATGGATTGAAAGGAACAAGATTATAAAGAAAGTTATAGGGGACAACATATAAGAATGAGTTCTAAAATCATCAGCATTTTTATGTATTGAGATTATTAATATTGAATGCAATAGTTATTGGATATAGCTGGTAAGGTCTCTGCCATGCATACTTACAATAATCCTTCTACCTCTCACTATTAACATGGGCTATGATACTTCAATATAAGTTGAAGAAATAATTATTTACTATATATATCCCAGGAAACACTTTTTTGGGGTTATCAATATTATGCTCTCAACTGCCTGGGAAATCACAAAAGCCAACTTCTTTTAGTGTATTCAACGGTGTATTGATCTGCATTGTTTTTCCTTTTCTATCATCAACCTTTCTTATGGACAAAATATGATAACTTTATAAAGACAGTTCTTCTGCCTATTTAATATTAAAACATAATACAGTTGTGTTGATTTTTTTTTTAAAAATATTTTAAATGGCAACACTTTGCAATCCATTTATTTAATATTTAAAATACAACAAATTCTTATAGATCAGCGTTGCACTTTTAAGTAAAAATTATGTATGTGATTTACTTTCCCAAGCAGTATTATCTATATAAGACAAAAACTTAAGTATTTAAGACTGTCTTCTCATTAGCAAATAATCTCTGAATAATAAATGCAAAGTATTGCCACAAATATCCACTTTATTTTATCTGCATAGGCATGATATGAATTTTTTAAATGATGTAATTTAATTATTCTAAAAGGAAATGACAATTTAAAAGCAGATTTTCCTCTAGGAAAAAAAGATACATGAAAATATCTTAAATTATGAATCTGAATCTATAATATATGTTTAAAGTAAGATGTTTCTGTTATGTGGTTATGTTACAAATAATATTTGAACAAATCTTTATCATCTCTTCCATATATACATATATATATATGCTAGTTATAAGAAATGTATGGTTATTTTGGAGTGAATGGGCCCAAATATGAAAAAAATTGTAAAAAAAAAAAGATATTTTCCCCTTATAAAATATACTGTATATTTCAAAAGAAGAAAATTTAAAGGTATTTGAAGATTGCAAGGGCAAAAGAAAACCTACCAGGGCTCAGCACTTAAGCACTTTTCCCACATCCAGGGTCAGAACAGCAGTGATTCCTACAAGGACTTTTAAGTGCAGTATGAAATGCCACATTACACTTCTCTTACACACAGTACTGTCAAACCTCAAATGCTTTTTTTTTTTTCTTCAAATGCTTGTCCTTGTACATGATACTAGTAGGCACTTTTTATATTTGCTGATAGTAAAGTTATATGTAATAAAATATTTGATGATTGAAAGCAGTGGTCACCAGTTGGTTAAAAAATACTATAAAATGTAAACTGAATTATCTCTTTATCTTTTTCATTTTTTCTGTTTCTAATGTATTAAATGATTTTCACAAATAGAAAACTAATTTAGATTTTTTTAAAACTAGTTCTTTCTCCTATAAATGTATAAAATTTTAATATCTTTACAAATTTATTCAATTGTACCTGATGTACTTATTGTAGATTCAATTATGCAGTTAAGTAGTAACCCAAGGATGTATGAGTTTGGGAATACTAACCTATTTTCTTCATATTCAGTTCACATCAATGTTTGTGAATTGATTGTTTGGCTTTCCATTCAACCAAAAAATATTCCTCAAGAAAGCTCCATTTTTATCATAAATATTTCAGTATAACCAACATTGGAACAAGTATGCCATGCTAAAAAGAATTTAAAGACTTATCTCTGAAAATGGTACCCAGAAATGCAGGCGTTCCCAGTAATGTAGCTTCAAAATGAAATGTTCTATTTATATGATATGAAATTCATAACTTTTGGAAGGGTATATTTATGACAGCATAAAAATAAATTCTGTGCTGTAAAGAAGATTCACCAAAATTAAGCATAGTGCTCAGTTATTAAATCTATTGTTATCATTTACATTTTCGAAAAACAAAATGCATATTGTAATGTTAGGTACATGACACTTGCATGTTGATAGGCCTATATACTTACAAAGTATTCAATGTGTACTTAGTGACGCTTAAAATATGTCATGTACGACTCTGATACACATTCTTATAGGGTTCCCATTCGCACTTCATCTTTCAGTAAAGTCTTGTCAGGAAAAAAAAAAATTGTCTGATACATATGGAAAAATAAAATTTGAATTTTAGCTCTCTTTGGACATTACTGAATTGTCTATTCATTTAGTTCACTTTCTTAGGCTTGAAAACAGACATTGAAAGATGGAACTTTCTTTTTTCCTCACTGACAGGTTATGAAAGTTGTTACGAAACATATTCCTTTATGCCAAACACATTATTTTGCATATCTGTTTTGAACTGCATACATCATTCATT